TATATATATATAAATGTTACATAAATATACATTTAAATTAAAAGAAAAAACTAATATTCGTCTACTTTGCTCAAACAAAAAAACTTATATCCATTTTCTGAATCTTCTTTCTTCATTTAACATCATTCAACCATAGAAACTTGATGACAATTCTTCACTAACCTACAATCAAAATGTTTTTCTTGAAAAAGAAGAAGCAGAAGGATATTATAAGCAAAACATTGATTTTTGGAGAGTCACATTCAAGATTGAGTTATACACACAAATCATATATAAAGATCAAATGAGAAACTGAATATAAAGAAAGAATAAAAAAGCTTCATTTGTTTTGGTTGAAAGAAAAAATCATACTACAATTACAATCGATGCGACATAACCAATTTCTTCAGATCATTACATTTGGATAGTGAATGCTTCAACTATATGAAAACTTTTGAATCACAATATTTTCAACCAAATGACGACTTTGTGTATGAAAAATGTACTAATATAACTACATATATAATAAGAAAATGAAGAAAATTATTGAAAATTTATAAATATTATAAATGTTATTAATTAAGGAATATAAAAAGTTATGAAGGTTTCAAATCAATATGATTTGAGAAAACAGAATATTTCTAAACATGTGATTTTGAATGGTATGGTTTGAGAAAACAAAATATCTCTAAACATATGATTTTGAATGGTCTCATGGAGAAAAAATATAACACAATCAAACTATGAGTAAAAAATGATACATTCATTCACAGCATTGACTTGTAGAGCTCTTTTAAGGACTTCATCACTGCAAATACGTTCTAAAAGAACTGTTCCTATTGAAAAAAAAATTCTTTTCATTTTCTTATGACATATTTCTTACATGTAAGAGTTTATATAGCATGTTTGGTGTTGCTAAATCAATTACTTATAAGACATTTGAAAAGTCATTTGAGATTATGAAAAGACAAAGGAGTTTCAAATCAATATGGTGCTTAGAAAAATGTTTCTATTATAAGATATATATATATATATA